CCCTCTACCGCGCCTGCTACCGTGTTTGCACGACAGTGTGGGGGGGGGGAGGAAGCGGCAGCAAGAATGGAGGTGGCGGTGGTACGTTGGTGCCTTGTAGGGGGGAGGTTGAGGGGGTGGGTGATCCAGACTGCCGCCACACCTCCTCCTCTCTCTCTCCGCCGCTGCTACTGCTGTGGGGGGGGAGGTTCAGGGGGTGTGGGTGGCGGTCAGGTCAGGGCCCAAAATTGGTTTTGGCCCACCCTGTCTAATGAGTGTTCCAGGGTGGGCCAACCCTGACTCCTAGGGTAAAAAATATTGTACACTGATGGAAACAGGGTAAAAACAACCTTAAGCTGATTTAGTCAGTGTACCAGAGTCTCATATAAATATTTGTCTTACAAGTTTGTGAATTCCTTCATCACAAGTCAAATTGGCTCAGTTAGTTAGAAGTGTTGCTACGCACGGGAAGCTCACAGGTTCTATACTTATGTCCGGAAATTACGGTATTGCGAATCTCGCTGGCGCTATTTTGTTCAAAATCCACAATATCCTCGCTACGAAAGATGCGGTATCAAGATAATTGGGTTGAAACATGATGAAGCCAGGGGAAACAGTCGCTAAACTCGGAATTCATAAGGGTAAAAAAACAAAAACACTTTTTGAGTCAGGGTAAGAAGTCTGGGAGGCTGACTGGGTCAGGGTAACCCAAAAAAAGCGGCCGCCAGTCAGGGCAATCAGGGTATTTTACTATGACATTTTGGGGCCTGGTGGCGGTGATCCAATTGCAGCAACTTCCGCCACACCTCCTCCTCTCTCTCCTCTCTGCCGCTGCTGCTGCTGTGGGGGGAGGTTCAGAGGGTGGTGTGAGTTCAGCTGCAGCATCAGCCACCTCCTCCTCCTCTCATCCCACTCCCCGTGTCATCCTGTACCGTTCGTGCTCCCGTGCTCCCGTGTTTCCCGTGCTGCCCCCATGCCTCCCGTGCTCCCGTGCTTCCCGTGCTGCCCCGTGCTCCCGTGCTTCCCGTGCTGTCCCATGCTCCCGTGCTCTTGTGCTTCCCGTCCTGCCCCGTGCTCCCATGCTCTCGTGCTGCCCCGTGCTCCCGTGCTCCTGTGCTCCCATGCACCTGTGCATCCCGTGCTGCCCCTGTGCCTCCAGTGCTCCCGTGCTCCCGTGCTCCCGTGGTTCCCGTACTGCCCCGTCTTCACGTGCTTCTCGTGCTGCCCCCGTGCCTCCCGTGCTCCCGTACTCGTTCGTGCCCCCCGTTGCTGCCCGTGTCCGTCCGTGCCTCATCCCGTGCGTTGCTGCCCGTATCCGTTTGTGCCGCCCATGCTGCCCGTACCCGTTCGTGCCTCCCGTTGCTGCCCATGTCCGTTCGTGCCTCTCGTGCTGCCCGTGTCTGTTTGTACTGCCCGTGCCCGTTCCGTGCTGCCCATGGCCATTTGTGCTGCCCGCGTCTGTTGGTCCTGCCCATGTTCGTTTGTGCTGCCCGTGTGCGTTCGTGCTGCCCGTTCCGCCGTGTCTCTTTCGCCGCCTCGCTTTCGTGAGAAAGAGGGCAGGGGTGAGGTTCAAGAGGGTGACTGGAAAGGTGGGTGAGGTTAATAGGGGTGATTAAATGGGGGTGGGAACTCGGGGGTTCGTAAGTGGGTTCGCCGGCATTGGCCCCCCACCTCCTGTCCTCATCCCTCTCTCACCTCCCCCTTCGTTAAAGGGGGTTCGTAAGCCGGTTCGCCGGCACTGGCCCCCTACCTCCTGTCCTCATCCCTATCTCACCTCCTCCTTTGTAAAAGGGGATTCGTAAGCGGGTTAACCAGCACTGCCCCCCCACCTCCTCTCCTCTCCTCTGTCACTGGTGCACCTCTTCAGGGGGCGTTACTGCACTTCTTCCTGCAAGCAGTTATGGGGGTGTGTTAAACTATGTTATGTATAACTGCAATTGACATTTCAGAAACGTCCCAGTTATGTGCAGAACTGGCAATGTATCGAGGTAGCGAGATTGCACTAAGTTGGCAAACGAGTACAAAGTATGAGCGAAGGCATGAGCAAATACTTATAAGCGAAACATGCCAACGGTAACGTGGTGTGCGAGCTAGCTAGTGCGATGCTGACAACGAGGTTTGGGCTAGCCCCGAAGCGTAGGCTGACTCGGGCCAGGCCAGCGATGCATGGTTTGGCAGATGTAGCGCGCGAAGGCGGCGAAACACCGTTATCAGTAACGGGCGAAGAAACGGTTGGTCCTGTATGCAATGTTGAGATATGCGGTAAGGAATGTAGAAACATTCCTTACAAAAACACATCCTTAGGTGAGCTCGAGCAGAAAGAAATCATGTGCGACAAAACAAGCAAGTGCGCTCCAAAGCCAAGCATCCAGCATATCAAGTAAACAACTTGGCCCTGTTCGATAGGCAAGCAAACACGGCCGTAGAATCATCGAGGCTACTTGAAATTTTAGTTTTTTTTCCCCGGTCAGCCCAGAAATTGGTGTCGAACCTGATGAACACTCCCAAACCTAACTAACCCGTGTTAGCATGTCGAACGCACCTTTTACAAGAAGCGTTCAACATCCCCGAAACATCCGAGGGATGAGCCCAGATCAAGCCTAACCCCCGGCCCCCCAATATGGGGTTTGCCAAAGGGCTCGGTTAGCGCTCATAGTGCGAGGGGTACCCAAATCGTGCACCCCAAAAATATTTCTCAGGGTCCCAATTTGTCGAAACATCTCTGCCGTAAAAAACAAGCCCCTGCCTCTGTATCTCTTCATGCTTATGAGTTGTGTTGGTTCTGTTTTGTTTCCTTCTTGTGCAGTTTTTACCCAGAATCCTTTGCCTGCGAAGCAAAGTTTTGAACCCAGCCCGCGATGATGATGGTGGAAGGAGGTAAGTAGCATCGCCCTGATGACCCCCTCCTTCGGATCTCTAGGGGCGAGGCTTCCGATTTGGTTGGGCGGTCGGTCGCCTCGGGGAAGTTGCCACAAAAACTCCTACCAACACTAGCCTAACCCTAGCCCTCCTAGGGCTAGGCTGCCTGGCCCTGTTCGACAGGCAGCCTAGCCCTTCCGCGGAACCATAGTGGATGTTTCGTAATTGGGTTCTTTTTTTTCGCTGGCCAGCCCATAAATTATTGCCGAACCTGTTAAACACTTAGGAACCAGACTACCCTACTTTAGCAAGAAGGGTTTGTCCCCACAGAAAGATCCAACACCCTTCTAACACATGCAAGCGATGAGCATAGCTCCAGCCCAGCCCTCGCATCCCCAAAAGGCGGGTTGGCCAAGGGATGGGCTAGGGCTCCATGTGGGAGGGAATACCCAAATCGTACTCCCCGAAAGTTTTCCCACCCGTACCCATGCTCCAACTATTCCCATCTGTGCCCTGAAAAAGTCCCCATCCTCCCACCACTAAATCAACCAGGCAGGCACTCGACCCCTTTTTTTTTTATCCAAACGATTTCTACCCTGGTTCCCATGGCATGCGACGCAAACATTTGAATCCTGCCCTTGATGAAGATGGTGGAAGGAGGGGCCCAACATCGCCCTGACGACCCCCTCTTTCCGATCTAGGGAGGCGCTGCTTCCGATTTGGTCGGGAGGGGGGGGGGGGAGGGGGTGGGGGGGGTGGTTTAGCCTAAGGGAAGTTACTCTGAAAACCCCCCTCAACACTGGCTTAACACTAGGGCTTAGCGCATCAGCCCGGATGGCAACAGCAAAACGATCGGTTGGCGCATCAGCCCGGATAACAACAGTAAAGCGACCATCCATGAACCTTCCTTGATAAATTGTTGACAGGTTATCAAGGCTCGAGATTAGCGCATGGCTGCCGAAGCTAACGGGTTCATAATGCCTGCCAAAGAGCCTTTTTGGTCCCCGAAATTTTGAATGTCGTGTTCCAGGAACCTTCATCTCCTAGCAATCTGGCGCATCAGCTGGTGCGGGGCACCCTCATTGGCCAATTTCGCGCTGAATGACTTCCAAGAAGCCCACGACATTTTGGCTACACGCGCTGTAGAACTTCCTCGAAACCCTAAACATTTTGGCATGTCGGAAAAAACCCAAACCTCCCCGCCTGGTATGGCTGCACCATCCCCGAGCCTGTTGGCGCATCAGCTGATGCGCCAACCGAACAAGGCCTAGCCCTCCAAGGGCTAGGCTGCCTGTCGAACAGGGCCCCTATCCCTTGCTCGTACGAGCACGGCGCGGAGACGAAATCGAGTGGAAACCAGGCCTGTGGAAGTTTCTGGGGCTCGTACTTGCGCTCCCCAGCTCCTCCGCATCTGACCCTTGGTTGGGTGTAGGTGTGCGTTTTGGCGCCCTTAACGGTCACGGGCGCACCCCAAATTGAAAACTTGAAATCCGGGCATGTTTGAAGTTTGCACTTACACTGTATTTTACTATGATACATGCAGTTTTCAACTTATATTAGAAGTCACTCATACCCAATACTACACATGTCTTCAATTGTCATAAAACCTACCTAGCCTGCAATGTTATACTTTTCGCTAACTAAAGATTTAGCATGCAGATTTAACTACTCTACTCTACCCAAACATGCAATGCCAGCCTATTTGGCAGGCTTCCTCCCCTTCCTCCCCTTCTCCTCAAACAAGGCATAGGCCGCTGCCCAGTCCACTGGGTAGTCTAGCATCTTCACCGTCATCAGCTCCCCCAGCCTAACATCAGTAAGAGCAACACGATCCCACGACTTAATAATGTTTTGGCGGGAGAAGCCCCTCTCACACTCAACAGTGCTGAGGGGCAACACAGAGACTGCACGCCAGAGGGAGACTATGGTGGGATAGTCATCCTTCCAGTCTGCCGTGCGCAGCATGTTGGTGAGAGCCTGTTGGAAGCTCTGCTTCTTGAACTTCTTCTCCATGGTGGCTGTGAAGAGGCGCATCTGCGGCTCTATGTCAGCAAGAGCGACTCCTGCCAAGGACATATACAACAAGGTTAGAACATGCCAATGTTGGAGAAGAACATTTACAAGGTTAGAACATATACAAGGTTAGAAGATATACAAGGTTCCTACTCTATCCCTCTCGACTTACCAGGTAGCTTGTTCTTGAACATGTCAAGGAGCTCGGAGAGATGGAGCTTCACCCACGCGTCCTGCTCTCCTGCACGGTCGGGATACTTATCAGGGGAGAAAAAACCAACACCATCGAAATGACGCAGGTCCGCCATCCTCTTCTCCAGCGCCTTAATCAGGCGCTGAGCGAAAAGCCTTGCCAGGTCCACGCAGGCCTCCAAGTCGCATCCCCCCCCAGGGTTTTCAGGGTCGATGATGTCCTCGTGAAGCTCGATCTCGGCTTTTGCAGGCTTGCCGTTCTCGTCCACTCCCTTGAGCTCCATCTTGCGCTTGTCCTTGCTGCCGTGTGCAGCAAGGAACTTGTTCAGGCGAGAGGTGCTCGGCCCGTTGGATGCGCCGGGCTCGACGTAGTACTGCGACAGCTTGGTCTTCACCTTGTCGACATGATTCTTCATCTCTGTGATGTCGACCTGAAAGCAAACAGAGCGAGAAAAAATTAGAGCCAAGCACACAAGTCACGAAGCGACAAGGCCATGCTCATCTGCACCTTACCGTCTGCTTCTAGAAGGACAGATTGAGTCCGTTGAGCAGCGCCAGCACGTCAGCCAGGAGATACAGCATATAGTGGAACTTGAAGCTGGTAGCGAGTTTCTCCGTCTCGCCCTTCTCCTTCGTCCACATCCACATCAGCACCGGCAGCACGTCACAGAAGCGACTCACAGCATCCCCGCGAGACAACCAACGGACGGTGCAGAAGCCTTGCACCTCCAGGTGCGTCTTCAGAATGACATCCTGGAGATGCATGTAGGTCTTGTGATCGGTCGATGAACGCCCGAGACGCTCTGCAGTCTGGCGTATCATCTGATCGACGACGTTGAACTCCTTGAAGCTCTTCGCGGCATCCTTGGCAGCCAATGCCTCGCTGCACAAGCACGAGACGTGCGTGAGTATGGTTGGGGAGGGGACAGGTGTAAAATACGATCGGAAGCAGTGCAGTGCAACCTTACCGATGCGCCACGCAGTGAATCGCCACCAGCCACGGGCAACGTTTCCGAAGCATGGCGACAACGCCGTTCTTCGCGCCAGTCATCACGGATGCACCATCCGTTGACACCCCGACAAGCTTGTCCAGCGACATGTCCTTCGACCACAAACACTTCACGATCGTGTCGTGCAGTGCTGCGGCGTCGCAACGTTCGAGCGACAGGAGAGCAAGAAACTGGGACACCACGGCCTCGCCTCTCTCAAACGTGACATACACGATGAGATGCTTTCCACGGGCGCGATCTGTGGATTCATCGAAGGAGAGGCTGTACCAGGCCGACTCTTTGATGTCCACGAGCTGCTTGGCCACCAGATGCTCCGCCATAGCCTCTACGAACTCGTCGAAGGCGTATCTGCAATGAGCACCGAATGAAAATGTGAGTAAGTTATCCACAATAGAACAGCAGAAGAAGTACGAACAAAGCAGCAGCATATGAACAAAAGCAAAAGCAGGAAATCAGGAGCAGAAACAGAGGCTAACAAGCACGTACCGCGAGTAATAACGACCGTACGATTCGTCGGTCATCATGTCGGGGCAACCTTGCTCCGCCATGAACCGCACCAGCATGGGGTAGAGCGCGATAGGTGCATCGTTCCGCGCAATCCAGTGAGCTCCTTGCATGCATTTGACGACCCTCGACATGACAGGATCGCTGCTGAGCATATTCAAGAGGCTGCGCTGCCTCACCTCCGTGCCTTCAGCGGTGGCTACGTAGGGCTCGGTCTCGGTTGTAGTATGAGAATAAGAGTCGTTCGTCGTGGGCAAAACTGGAGGGGTTTCACCCTCGCTATGGTCCATGGTGGGAGATTGTGGCTGACGAAGGGAACGGGTTAGCTAGCCAAAATATAAACCTCGCGTGTGTGAGCGAGGCGACGCGAGCTTTACTCGGCAGAGTTGGTGGGTGGAGGAGAAGTGCCATAGCACGGCACGAACGAAGGTGGAGAGCAGAGAGCTTGGGTGGGCGGTACCGTGGAGGTGGTCAGACGGTGGAGAAGAGAAAACATGGCACGAACAAAAGAGGAGAGGAGAGGGAGGTTGGGTGGGTGGTGGTGGTGGATGGAATGCATGGTGGTGGAGAGGAATCGTGGCACGCACGAACGAAGGTGGTGAGAGAGCTGCTACGCTGGAGTGCTTCAGTTCCTTTGACGTGCTTTGGAGTTCTCTGTGGCCGATAAACTTAGCCAGATTCACCCAACCTAATCCTATGTGTCACAGCTGTAAACTGCGACCAGCTCGTATTGGACGCTAAGGGAATGTTCGGGTGCTCCAAGGCTGACTGAGACACACGAGGTTGGCTAGAAAACGCTAAGGGAAAAATCCCCTTGGCGCGCTCTAGTGCAGGCTAAGGAGAAAGGGGGGGGGGGGGGGGGGGGGTGGGGGGGGGGGGGGGGGTCTCGGGCACCCTGGGGGGGGGGGGGGTCCTACGAGCGGAAACCAAAACTTAGATAAAGGGGAAGGCCTGGTTTCGTCCCTTAACGCATCCGGGGAAGGGTCGAACGAAGCACTTAGTGGCACGGGTGGGGTACGAATCCAGAACTTGCCGCATTGGAGCTGGAGCGAAACTAGCCCTTAATGTTCAGGGCGTTAAAGCGACGGGCAACTTTTGGCAGTGTTGGGTTCAGAAGTTTTTTTTTTGAACCAGGCTTGCCAGCGCGAAAGTGCTGGCTGGCGAAAACCAGGATTTCGTGCGGACACTTTCCATCCGCAGTAACAGTTCGCCAGGGTTCTGGGTTTTGGGTGGCAAATGTGCACCGTCGCTTTAAGGGCATATGCCCTTGAATCGACAGGCCTGGTGGAAACGCAGCTGCGGAATGCGAATGTGCATCGCGAAGAGAATGATGCGGAATAAATAATCCAAGCATGATCGCTGCCCTGCTTCTCGTAACATCGCCCGCCCCGTCGACCTAGCTACAACTTTCCGTCACCTCACTACCCTTTCCCGTCGTTTTCGTGAGCGTAAAGCGACGCCCTCGCCCTTCCCCGTCGCCCTCACTTCCCCTTCCCCAATTACCCGAAACCATGGCCATGCACTGTCATGAGTACACTTCCAGGTCCAGTCAAGGTTGACGAGCCGAATTACGTCATATTCACGGAAAAGCCAGCAGTGAACGAAGTTGGACCCGCCCTAATAGCGTTGAGTCACTCGCTCCCCGCACCAGAGCGCGCTGTGCTGCGCTATCGCTGCAAGCACGTCAGGCCCACGGCCACCACCCAGCGCTCCGTTCATCACGGACCAGCGAGGTCCGCGTCGCGTCACTCATAATATTCTGAATTGGAGAATCCTTCGTTCCTCTCAGCTGCCCCGCATCCGTACCCTTTGCGCAACTTTTCTCCTTGCTACCCTCGCCGTCATGGCCCGCTGGGCCCCGCACTCCGTGCTGCTGTTAGTGCTGGCAGCCGTGGCGCTCCTCGCCTTCCTTTCCGCCCTCCGCACGCGCCTCGACCCCTCCCGCCTTCCACATGCACCCTCTAGCGCCCCGTCTCCCCAACGCCACAGCCCTCGCTCCAGCTACCGCCGGCGCCTGGAGACTCGGCGGGGCAATCCCGGGCGGAAGGCGGTGCGGCTGCACGCGGCGACGGCGGAGGCGAACCCGCGGCTGGAGCACATCACGTTCGACCCGCTCGTGGCGGAGATGGAGGCGCAGCAAGACGACCGCAAGTGGGAGGAGGCGCAGTTCCGCCGGCGCGGGGAGGAGGTCCGCGTAGCGCACGGCACCAAGCCGCACGGAGACGGTGACGAGGGTGGCGGGCGGAGAAGTGTGGAAGAGGCATGGAGGATTGAAGCAGCGGATGAGGAGTTGAGGCGACTGGAGGACAACCCCAACCCAGGTGCGCACGTGGGCGGGCAGGGTGGGCACGTGGGCGGGCAGGGCGCGCACGAACACAGTGTGGCAGGGCAGGTGGTGGCTGCAGTGACACGCATGAGTTCATGCGGTGATGAGCGGTGGCACAGCAGAGTCAGTAGTCCATGCTGGCATAGTTTCAATGTTGCAATGTGTGCCGTGTGTGTGTGGACATGCGTGTTGTGAGACGCCATGTCGCACTGCATGTGTGCCATGACAACCTGTGCCGTCCCACTGTAACCTTCGCCTTGTTTCTGCTTCCCCTGTGCCCATGTCCTGCGCTTGCCCGTGCCTCTGGGTTTTCCCTTGCCCTTGCGGTTCGTGGTTGGAGTGGCAGAGGCAGGGGTGCACAAGGTGAATGTGACGAACCGTCTGAGGGTGCTGTTCCCACTCATTGACAGCGACGACAAGGACGGGCTTGTGTCGCTCAGTGAACTCGCCATGTGGCAGGTACGCCATCATGCGCTGCACTCACAGCTGGGCCATGCTGGTCGGCCTTATTGTGTTGACATGCCCTGCGCCCCTGTGGGGGCTACACCACCCTCCTCTCGCCTCTTGCTCCGCACCTCTGCATGGTCCTTCCCCGCCGTGCCGTGCACCCCTCTATGTCCGTCCTGCATCCCCCCTGTCTCCCCCCACACCTCTCCTGCCCACCTGACTCCACTCTGTCTCGCGCCTCCCCTACCCCCCTCCCGTGGGAGTGTGCCCGCAGGTGCAGCAGGGGCAGCGCAGCAGCTCGCGGCGCTCGCGGCGGGAGATGCAGGTGGTAGACAGCGATGGGGACGGCAGGGTGTCGCTCAAAGAATATCTGCACGATGACACGCCGGGGGAGGAAGGTGGGCATTGGGTGGGACGGGGCTAAAACGTGTGTTTTGGGTCGACTCAAAACAGAGGTGGCGGACAGCGATGGGGACGGGAGGGTGTGGCTCAAGGAGTATCTGCACGACCACACGCGGGGGGAGCAAGGTGCGCACTGGGAGGGGGCTCTGTTGGTGTTGCTTTTGAGAATTCCGAAAAGCAACACTTACAGCGATGGGGACGGCAGGGTGTCGCTCCAGGAGTATCTGCACGACCACACGCCGGGGGAGGAAGGTGGGCACCAGGAAGGGGATAACATTCCACAGGCGCTTCATGCAAGGTGAGGAGGTGAGGTGAGGTGAGGTGAGGTGAGGTGAGGTGAGATGAGGTGAGGTGAGGTGAGGTGAGGTGAGGTGAGATGAGGTGAGGTGAGGTGAGGTGAGGTGAGGTGAGGTGAGGTGAGGTGAGGTGAGGTGAGGTGAGGTGAGGTGAGGTGAGATGAGGTGAGGTGAGGTGAGGTGAGGTGAGGTGAGGTGAGGTGAGGTGAGGTGAGGTGAGGTGAGGTGAGGTGAGGTGAGGTGAGGTGAGGTGAGGTGAGGTGAGATGAGGTGAGGTGAGGTAAGGTGAGGTGAGGTGAGGTGAGTTGAGTTGAGGTGAGGTGAGGTGAGGTGAGTTGAGGTGAGGTGAGGTGAGGAGGATGATGACGTGGAAGAAGTGGGTGTGTGACGTGTGTGTTTGAAAACTCGATCAAGGGGTTCATGCAACAGCTTCCTTGTTCCTGCGCCCCAGCAACACCCCTCATTGCACCACCCTAAAGCTGTAACTCAAAACCCCAAAACCTCTAACTTGGTGGTGGGTGCATGGTGCGTGTGTGGCATGGTGCATGTGTGGCATGGTGCATGTATGGCATGGTGCATGTGTGGCATGGTGCATGTGTGGCATGGTGCATGTATGGCATGGTGCATGTGTGGCATGGTGCATGTGTGGCATGGTGCATGTGTGGCATGGTGCATGTGTGGCATGGTGCATGCGTGGCATGGTGCATGTGTGGCATGGTCCACGTGCAACAGTGCACGTGGAGGGCGACGATGACATGGCTGAGTTTGTGAAGACGGCCAGGGAGCGCTTTGCACTGGCGGACACAGATGGTGATGGGGTGCTCAACGAGGAGGAGTTTAACGAGTGAGATGTGGTGTGCATGCTACCCTCCACCCACGAGCTCGCCATGCCTTGCTGTGCTGTCATCTGTCGCTGTGTGTCATGTTTCATCATGTTCTCGCTGCATCTGTGTCTGCCCTTTCAATCCTGACTGACCCCATGAGCTCGCCCCCCCCACCCCCCTCCCATGCGCGTGTGGCAGTCTGCTGCATCCAGAGGACAGTCAGAACGAGAAGCTTATCGACTCCGTCCGCGATGAGGAGCTCAGGTCAGCCATGCCATGCCCTGCCATGCCATGCCATGGCCTGCCTGTCATGCCCTGCCATTTCCTGCCATGCCCTGCCATGCCTGCCATGCCCTGCCTGTCATGCCATGCCATGCCATGCCATGCATGCCCTGCCATGCCTGCCATGCCCTGCCTGCCATGCCCTGCCTGCCGTGCCATGCGTGCCGTGTCATGCCAGGCCTGCCGTGCCAGGCCTATTGGGGCATGCCAGTCGTGCCATGACTGCCGTTCCAGGCCTGCCGTTCCAGGCCTGCCCTGCCATGCTGCTGTCCCATGCCATGCTGTCTGTGCTGTGTGGTCGCCCAGAGCATGCATGCCGGGCCATACCATGCCATGGCATACTGTGTTGTGCCATGCCATGCTGTGCTTCCATCCTATGCTATGCCATGTGATCCATGCCATCCGATCTCTGTCCCCTCAGTCCCAAAGAACATCTTGCTCTTCGTGAGTCTTGATGGAAAGCAGGCCAGGGTTCTGCAACTCCCTGTTGTACGTATGCTCGCCGTGCGTGTGCTCGCCGTGCTGCAGGGCGCGGGACACAGACGGGGACATGCGGCTGTCGTTTGAGGAGTATCTGG